TCACCGCTCGAGGGCAGGGCGCCTTTGGGACGGGGGAGGGGGGAGGCCCTTGGTCGTCCTACTTAGGTCGTCCTTTGAGTTGTTTCCCTAGTCTCCCTTGTCGTCCCCGTCTCCCTTAGAGGGTGTCCCTGGGTTGAGTCGTCTCCCTAGGTCGTCCCCTGGGTCATCTCCCTTGGGTCGTCTCCCTCGTCTCCCGTCGTCTCCCGAGTCGTCCCCCTAGGTTGCTCATGAAAACAAAGGAACGACTTCTTGTGCGTCCCAGCCTCCGGGCAGACTGGGAGACGAAAAGGAAGACATTCCTCGAAGCATTCCCGAGGATGGACCCACTCCCTGACCTTCCTCCCTAACCCTTCTTATCCCCTACTTTCCTCCTCTTCCCCGTCTTTCTCCCCTCCCCTCTCCCTTTCCTTTCCTTTCCCCCTCTTTTCATCCCCTTACCCTTCCTTTCCCCTCTTCTCCCCTTTTCCCTTTTTTCTCCTTTCCCCTCATCATACCCTTCCCTTTCCCCTTCCTTTCTCCCACCCCCCTATTCCCCTCTTCTCCCCTTTTCCTCTCCCTCTCTCTTCCCCTTCGCCGCGTAAGTCCGGTCCCTGTCATTTGTTGCGTTTTCTTCTTGCGACAACTTCGCTCCTTCCTCTCGACCGCCTCCGCCCCGGAAGACGCTCTTTCGACAACAACACGTACTTGAGACTTTCTCTCTCGCGCGCTGCAAGAGAGAAGAGGGAAGAAGGATGAGAGGGAGAGTGGGAAAGGAGGGAGACAGATTTAAAATTTAGAGTTGCGGAGATTAGAGAGAGAGAGGAGAGAGAGAGAGAGAGAGATGAGAGAGAGAGAGAGAGAGAGAGAGAGAGAGAGAGAGAGAGAGAGAGAGAGAGAGAGAGAGAGAGAGAGAGAGAGAGAGAGAGAGAGAGAGAGAGAGAGAGAGAGAGAGAGAGAGAGAGAGAGAGAGAGAGAGAGAGAATCCCCGAGAGAATCCCCCACGCTCTCGGTCGCGGGCCCAGCCGCCTTTCGCGTGTCCTTGCGTGTGTCGGAAGCCCCCGGAGACGCTCCTGACGACGACGTTCCCCGCATACTGGGCATTCCGTGGCGCCCGCGACGGCCGGCTTCCTCATTACGAGTCTTACCCGACGAGGAAATTCCGGGTACGGCATTCCAGCAACGTCCCGGGCACCGAGCGGGAGGACCTCTCTTCTAAATGCGGCCTAATGGCGGCGCTTAGGAAGAGAAACGCACCGAAAGATACAAAAGGCGGCTCGGACTCCTGCCGAAGGTCGTCCCAGCTGCCTGTTTGCATTGTAATTCCCGCCCCGAGTCCCCCTCCGCCAGCATGCTAATCGGGCCGCGTGCCACAATGGCGGCCGTCCTCAGCACCCACGCTGTCTATGGCGCTCTTCACTCCCTCGCTAAACGCCGGGCTTAACTACGCCATCACCTCCTCAAACACGGCCATGCACGCCCCTCGTCTCTGTCGTGGGCGCCGCTTGCTCCTACGACCTTGCCCCCCCCCCTACCCCCGCCGCTGTCCACGCCCGTCTTGGCTATCGGCGCCCATCGCAAGGCGCTGGCTTAACCCTCCTCGCGGCTGTCAGCATCGAGCTTCTGTATTTCGTTTTTTTATGTCTTTCCTATCTTCCAACTTTTTTTTCTTTATCTTGAACATTCAAACATTTTTTTCGTGACTCCACTCGCTCCGTTCCTCCCTCGCCGATGACGTCACAGCGAGATCTGAACTACAAAGATGTCTGAACATCGGGATCACCGCCTCCGGACGGCCCTGTGACAACTAGCATGACATGACAACTGTCGTTCGTCCAGACCTTTGTTGTCAAAGTACAGAGGCATGACAGCGCCATGCCACCCCTGTCATCGTCTACCCGGACCTGTGGTAGGAACAAGTCGAACCCTGCGCCAGTAAGATCGATATTCCCAACTCTCCAGCGTGTTCTTCCCGCCCATGTCAGCAGCATCATAATTGGTTAAGCGGTATGTCGCGTCTCCGAAGAAAAAGGGTTATGGAAGAACAAGAGAAGACAAAAGAAAAACGGAAATAAAAACACAAAACACAATTCGCTGTCGGCTGCACGAGGATAATGATTTGTCAGGAAGTCTGCATGACCAGGCTGCAGGTGTGCATCTTTCATGCATGACCTTGAAAAAATCCAGTATAAAAATATACATCGACGTTTAAAACACTTCTTTGTTCCGAGGTGTCCCATGGGCTGCGAGGCGCCTGCTTCGTGTCCGGAGTTTATGCACATGAAATAGCGCGTGCGAGAATAATCAAATGAGTGAATATAAAAATAGATAAACAAAAAACAAACCAAAACAAACATAAATAAAAATAATTAAATAAATGTATATATCTACACACACACGCACATAAATATATACTTATATATCTAAAAATATATATATCAATATATATATATACATATATATAGATAGATAGACAGATAGATAGAGAGGGAGAGAGAGACAGAGAAAAACTGGTAAACAGATA